GTGACAGAAGACCCGACCGAATACAGTTACCTCCGTGTGTTCCCTCCGTTTTTGTTTCCATTGTTTCTATGGATCCCCTCTCCCGTCGAGAATACCACCTCCTCCTGCTGGAGCAGGGGGAGAGATCGCTCGAGGGCCATACCAACCTGGTGGCCATGTGGCACGCACCCCTACAGCTTCAAAACTCTGTCAGTTCATCTCAGTCACTCTTTTTCTCCATCCATCTGACATGTGACGATTACTTGCTTTTTTATTATATGTAGAGCTCATTTACAGACAAAATACTTGTTTCAAAAAGTCTGGTAACACTTTATTTTAAGAGTCCATAATTATGCATTAGTTAAGCATGAATGCAGTAGTAATTAATGATTAACTTAACATTGTCAGGATCGTGGACCTGTTTTGTTATGTTTTGCCCCTGTTTCTGTTCCTCTGAGAGGGCTCCCGTTCCTAAGTTCTGGCCTGAAAGCCCGGAGGCTCACAAAAGCTCACCCTCCCACCCGCTCCTCCCTCCTCCTCCGCTGTCATCTGGCAGCCCCTCTGCTCGCCTTCAGCCCACCATCTATGCGGTGTGAGCTCCGCGGGACTGTCATTATCCCTTGTATTTAAGTTCCTGTTTGTTCAGTCTTCCTTTGTCGGGTCTACTTGTTGTGAATGTCTTCCTTGTGCTCTGTGTCTCCCTGTTGGTCTTGGTCTGGCGTCAACCATCCTGCGCCTCGGGACTCCACTCCTCTGGCTTCGCCTCATTCCTCCGGCTCCATCAGGCTCCTTCATCCACTCGGCTCCTCCTCAGTCCTCTGTTGCTCCGGCTCCACCGCGGCCTCCCGGATCCATGCCTCCGCATCAGTCGCTGGCGCCATCTGCTCCGCCTAGGACCTCCGGATCCTCCCTGTCGCCCTGGCTCATCGGCTCTCCGTCTCCGCCTCGGGCTCCTCCACCACCTGCTCTGCCGCCGTTAGTCGGCCCCCTGGAGTCGGCAGCCATTCCTCCTCCATGGCTCCTCCCTCCGTCGGCTCAACTGTGGGTCGCCATCATGGCTGTGGCCTGGGCCCTGCTTGGCTCCTCCTGCTCCAAGTTCTTCCTGTCTGATCCGCCCTGACTCCTCCTGTTTCCTCCCTGGCTCCTCCCTCCATCGTCCCCTCCCTGGTCTCTGTCTGCCGGCCCCCTCCAGGGTGTCCGTCCTCCTCCTGAGCCGCCTCCCAAGTTCCCACCCGTGCCCCCCCTCTGTTGTTCTATGGAGGGAGGACGCGCCTTCCGGGAGGGGGGCGATATGTCAGGATCATGGACCTGTTTTGTTATGTTTTGCCCCTGTTTCTGGTCCTGTGTTCCCTTTTTTGGTCACGTTCCTGTCCTTGTTTATTTAATTAGTCATTCTGTGCACCTGTGTTAAGTAATTATCCCTTGTATTTAAGTTCCTGTTTGTTCAGTCTTCCTTTGTCGGGTCTACTTGTTGTGAACGTCTTCCTTGTGCTCTGTGTCTCCCTGTTGGATTATTAAAGACTCATCTCGTTTTGTGAAATCTCCATGTCTCCTCGTCTCCTCGTTCCTCCCATAAGCAAAGTGTAACAAACTTATAGTAAGGGCATTTTATCCATTAAAGGATCCACATTCATGCCACAAATAAGCAAAATTAAGCTAATCATTAATGATTAACTGAATATACTGTAAACATCTTTTAGCCATTATTTACAACTTTGCAAACTATATATTTGGGTGTAGTTATGCACTTGGGTATATTTCAGTTATTCACCATCTATTAAGTTTATTGAACAATATGAAGCTATAACTATGTTTAATTAGGGTTGGTTTTACAGTTATAAATTGCTAAAATTGTGTAAATTGTGACAATTTGACCCCCTGTTCTAAAGTGAAAGTTATATCCACATTAATCATGGCACTTATTGAGTGATATTCAAGTTTATTGACTAGAATAAGTCAATAATTATGGCTAAACTGCCATTAATAAAGTACTAATAAAGACAATTTGAGCCCTGTTCTAAAGTGAATGTTATATCCACATTAATTATAGCACTTATTGAGTGGTCTCATTGTTATATAGGTATTCATAGGTAACTTTTACAGACACAATGCTTTTTTGTTCGTTTGGATAGATGCTGAAACATACAATATGGATGTGTTGGCAGTATTTAAACATAAACATTATTATAGAATACTTCAGAATGACCATGGCACTCTTGTGAATTAAAAAGCCTTTATTATCAAATGGCTACATCCAAGAAATCTAAAAACTCCATCTTGGATGTAGCCATTTGATAATAAAGGCTTTTTAATTCACAAGAGTGCCATGGTCATTCTGAAGTATTCTTTGATGGACTGTGATAAACCCTAGACCAGAGAGCACCTTGACCTTACAGCACCAGAACCCCGAGAAGCACTCTCTACTATTGGACTTTGTATAAACATTATTATGTTTTTACAACAAAAATTTTTTTTAATATTATTTTATTTATTTTATATCATAAAATATCTATATAATTTTCCTTTCACCACTTTATAGATAAATGTTATATCTCTAACCGAAAACCCAAACATAACCATTATATAGAGAATATAAAAAATAATTTTTAAAACGGACAGAAATGTGTAGGAAAATGATAATTTTAGTAACAATATAATGTAGCATAAAGAAGATATTTTGAGGTGCTAATTCCACTGAAACCTCTAAACATAACAAACAAACAAGTGTAATAATTTAATTTATAATTTAATTATTGCAAAAATGTCAAAAGTGGAACCAAAAGCAGTCAAATGACGATGTGTTGCAGTCGCAGTCCTCTTTGTGGCATATAACAGTTTTATATGAGGTACAGAGAAGCACACACTGGCCCAGCTAACCAATCACAGCACATTTCGTATTTCAGAAGGCGGGCCTTCATTTGATACAGGAACTATTCGAGCCATTCATGCCAGACTGGGGAGAGAGGTGCTGTAATAATGTAAAATATGTGAAAAATAATGTTAACGTTTTTTGAACTATGAGAGCCTGTTCTAGTACACCCCCAAAACAAAATCAAGACTTTGTAAAAGAGCATAATAGGATCCCTTTAAGTCATTAATCGATGAAAATGGTATCTCGCTTCGCTTCACTTTTTGAAGGCATGTAAGAACAGTAAGAATTCACTCAATACTAAACGCCACACATAGACACAATGTAAATTAGATATTATATGTGCAGTTTAGAGAGCTTCATTGATTATAACAGAACATTGTGAGATTGCGATAAATTGAAGTGAGTGACAGCTTTGTAGTGATTATATGGAAGCGCTATTCGCTCGCTTTCTAGGCTATAATCAATTCAGAATTTGAATAAAAGTTTTGTTTTGCTGCTAACAGGACCAATGGCCACATACCCTGTACATGCAGCAAAGTTTCAGGAGTGATATATATCCCACATCCCTCATATAAATGCAGGATTCACTTTCTAAATTGCTTGTTTGCAATCAGGGTTAGTTGCTTAGCCTATATCCACCGCATCGATGACAGGAAAGTATTTCAATTTAGTTGAAAAATCGCTCCTCTTCATAACATTAGGATCACGTCCAACATATGTTGTGATTTTCTGTTTATACCTTTCTCTTGTAATAGTGTCTAAATCGTACAGACTTTCCTCCATCTCATCCATTCTGCTTTTCACTTCCTGCCCTCCATCTGAATTTTGCATGACATCAGAATCACGTGATTGCAAACAAGCTATTCAAACCAGCAGTAACCCCCAAAACACGGCATGTTGCAATTTTTTGACAAAGCAGGCGAGAGCGGAGCGTTTGATATCACTGCCGTAAAACGTGTTGTATCAAGCTTTTTGGCATTTTTTGAATTCATAACGAGCGCAGAATTTCACGTTTACGTTTGCTGCTGAGAATGGAGATGAAGATCACTGAATAAAGGTTTGAATTTGGATCTGTTCATCGCAATCGTATGGATTCTAAAGATGCGGATTACAGCGAATGAATTACATTGATGTATTTTGTGAATTTATATTGCGTTTTGGTGTATTTTCTGGTTCTATTGTCAGTCACAGCATAGAACTATACTGAGAAAACACACAATTCCACAAATGTTACTCATTTTAAAGTTTTATAGCGTAATTTTGTTTAACATTACGTAATCCTTCAAATCGAGCATTCTCGTGAGATCATGTTGCAGGATAACTGCTAAATAAACCAATAGTGTAAATGAGAACCTATCTTTAGAACAGGGTGGCAAATTGACTTTATTAGGCTTATTCTGGTCAAAAAAATTAAATTTCACCAAATAAGTGCCATAATTAATGTGGATATAACGTTCACTTTAGAACAGGGGGTCGA